CGCTACTCCACACTCAGTGCATGTGCTTTGCTTCCTGTATCGCAGCACAATCTGTCGCGGAATAGATATTTTTTATTTAGATTTGTTTTGTCTTAATATTTGAAAAGAATGTTTATCAGTTAAGTTGTTTAAAAGGGTTTACTTAATTTTATATTAAAGTATAGATTAAAAATATATTTTTATCATAAATATATAAATATATACATAAATTAATATAAATTTTAGCATTAGTGTTAAATAAATTAATTTAATTAAATATTTAATAAATTTAAAATTATTTACTTAATTTATTTAATTATTTTATTTAATTGACATTACTTATATTTGTATAATTAAAATTTTTTATGTGCTTGTTATGCTTAATATTTATATAATAAAAAAGCTTTTAAAAATAAAAATAAAGAATACAAAAAATAAAAATAAATATTAAATAAGTTTTATAAGTTAAACAAATTACACACAAAACAATAGAAACTTATATAAATAATAAATCTTAACCCAGACATAAAACACATGTAATAATAATATCTCATTATAAACCTTTTCTTTCTTTAAGTAGAGTACATAAGTATATAACCACAAATTATTTTGTACTTATTGGATTAAATATTAAGTATAAATATTCAAGTATTTAACTAAGTACTAAGTCTAAAAGTTTGTTCCTAAAAATTTCCAAATCAGATACTAAATATAACTTAGAGCAAAATGCATAAAAATCTCAACTCTAAAAAAAATTAGAATCATAACTCTAAATATACTAAAAAAAAAAAGATTCATAACTTTAAATTATATTGTTTTATTTAATTAAAATTCAACTAAAAATTTAAAATTTTATTTTATTAAATATTAATATTTAATTTAAAAATTAATTAAATTTTTATTTTTTTATTTTTTTAATATACATCAAAATTAAAAAAATTAAAATTGATATACACCAATACTTATAACTTATATTTAATCCAAAAAAAACTCACCCGGTACTCCAGTGGGCTTGGTAGAGAAACCTAATCTCGCGCGTACATTTAAATCATTTTTTCAAATCGAAGAAACCAGAATATCCCAGGCGCTTCTTCCTCTCAACAGTCAAAAAGAAAAATGGTCAGAACAAATCGAATATACGTGGAGTTTAATTATTATTAAAATATGATATAAATAAAAAAAATTATATATTAGTTTTAGTTTTTAAAAATTTAAATGGCCCCTATAATTTATTAGGTTGTCATAATCATTCCCTTGCACATTGCTTTACCCAGATCATCTATGAATGCAGTTTCTTTTCTAACTGAATTTATGTATGCAGTTGGAAACTACTACTTTAATACAACCCATTAATAACATTAAAAATTAAACGGTTTTTCAATTATGCATCCTTATATATTTAAGAGTATAATTAATACACTTTTATAATATCAACAACACTTTTATAATATCAACCACTTATTAATTTGAGTGAAATAAGTTCAATTTCTTTTAAGTAAAATCTTGAATTTGAGTATTGTAAATAGAGAAATATGCACTGAGAGAACTTTGTCCCTTATAAGGTCCAACGTAGTTCTATTTCGAATTAATCAAAATTCAATGTAATCACTAGATACCAAAAGGTAAATATATAAAAAAATATATTTTTATAATTAATTTATATAAAAATATAAATATTAATTTTTAATTAATTAATTAAAATTATTTATGTATTAATAGTATTAAAATAAATTTTAATTTTTATATATTTATATAAATTAATTAAAAAATATATTTATTGTACTCATAATTTATCTTAAAAACACAGATTAAATAAATTCAAAAATAAAGAAAAAAAAGTCCTAGTGCTTTTTAATTTGTTTTCCTTCGTGCCGACCAAAAAAAAAATTGTTTTCCTTCGTTTTCATACATATTCAGCACTTAATTCGTAGTTTAGAATTTTTTTTTTTTCTTTTTATGATTTTATCTTCCTACATGACAGATACGATGTAGATATTGGGCCGCTCTTGGACTCCCTGACTGGACCTGGATTTTGCCCATGAA